TTGTGCTAACTAGCAAATAGACAGCCACATTCAAATTTCTTTACCCACATTCCCATGGATTGTTCCCTCAGAAGGAATTTCACTGTGTATCCAGGAGGTAGTGGGTCGTAACTACGGAATTTGTGGTCCGCGTGGCGGCGACCTTGGAGAAATTGGTGGTTTAGCATTTGGAACGTAACGACACTCTAACTACTGAACCCGAAGATTGACGAACAGGGAAGGAGCAGGAATTTTGATTACCTCGAGGCGCACGAGTGCGTCCGCATACACGACCCCTCGTGTAACAGGATACAGGATATACGTACTTTAGACCAATCTTTCAAGACTTGTAAGCAAGATACTGTAATTTGATTAATACTTATCATTTACCGAGTAACGTGACAGCTTTGGGATCTCCTCCAAACGGTGGCAGCACCACATTCAACATTGTCAACGCTGAGACCAGATCGGAAATGCCGCTATTGCCGGAACATGATGATGATTCACAACGTCCGAGAAACCCTGAACATCATCTAACTGGTAAACCGTCTGTCATGAAGAATAAGTGATGAATGTAGTAACAAGTAGAGTAATTACTGGTAATAGAATAAGTAAGAATAGTGTTACCGAATACTCCTAGACGATAATTCAATGTGACGACGACAATTTGCCCATGAGACGCCAGAATACTTCCGTTATAAGGACTTCCCGCATTCCAACCGTATTCATCACCATGTACAACGACAAGTACCGGCAGTGGTGAATCCCGTTGTGAACTCTCTGAATAGTACAATGGTAGGATACGTGGCATTTTTGATGAATTTTGAAAGACACCTACTAGCAATTTTGAAGTTACTGGCAATGGAGGGACAACGAGATGAGGTCAACAGAAGACCTTTCGACCCAGGTTTTAGCTTAGAGTCCCTACGAAATGAAAACTACAAAACAGTAAATCACAGACTTCAGAATTGCCCGGACTGCGCGAACACCCTCAAAACCGAACCGCATTCGCATTACTAGTTTGGTTCAAAATCAGCATGCGTGGAGCATCCCACAAGTATCAAACGCCAAGTGGGACAAACGTGGCCACTGGGCAAGGGTCTCTCGTCCCCGAGAAAGCTCTGGCGCAGTTTGTCGACGGGGGGGGGGGCATTCTGCTTTCCATAGATGTGCCGACCCATCTAGGTAGCCTTTTCTCGAGTTGACACGTTTTAGGATGGTGGCTAGACGATCTTACTCCAGCTTCACAAGCGTTCACAAGTTTTACCAGAGTGAGATTTGTAAACCGGAACTAGGGAAGCAATGGTAGTACAAAATGCCCCCCGGTCGACAAACAGCGCCGAAAGCTCTTTCTCATGAAATAAGCATTATGTATTCCTCATCCCGTTGGCACTGGTCATGATGTGAGACATGCCATGTAATTCCCATAGCATGATGATGTATGAGCTCCAGGTGGCCGTCTGAAAGGAGCCTTCCTGGTGGTGGCCGTTAATCATGTATACCCTGAGCTTTCAGGACAGTGTATCCTTAGTGAGCACGAATGTAGTCTTCTTGGCGTTTCTACAAGCGCTAACGTTAGGTGGAAGACACATTCGAGTAAATGTCGCTCTATGAGGCCTTTGGACTTTTGAGGGCGGTGGTCTTGCCAGTTAGGCCACCAAGGACGATCCCTGCTATCGAACTTGTGTATTACAAGCTCGGAGAAGCACAAATGTGGTAGAATTTCCGGATTTTCGGATTCCCACTGATAGTCGCTCATATGTAACGAGGGTGTGAAAATTGCGGAAAATTATAACCTATCCAAAAAATTATGAAATAAAAAAACTCTTGATTCTTTGCTGTCGATATCTTGATTAAATGATCAGTCCCTGGAGATAATGAAGACATGATAGAACGTATACGAATAAGTAGGAGGAGATGGCTCATTATCGAGGCATGTCTTGCGTTGAGGAATTCCAGCGAAATGGGTTGGGTCGTATTAGGCATCGGAGAGAGGTTCGATCACCTTTGAAGGCAGATGGCACAATGATTTGGTGCTTGGCCTATTATAAAATGCTATTAGTAGAGCTCTATATAGTTGGGAAATGGCGAAAGAACGGAGCGAAACGGTCAAAATCCTGCGAAGAAAGAGCCTCCGTTCTCAATGTGTTCAAAATCAATTTTGGACGAGTTTCCCGTAGGCATCTTGCCAATAACCGCTACCGAAGGTACGGCTGCATATGTGTACTCATATATCCATGCAGCACGGCCACTTCATACCAACCCCTTCGCTTCATAATTTGCCTAGGAAATAAATTGAATACGAGTGTCAGGAACGGTCGTCCTTTTGTGGGGGCAGAGGCGTGGCGGGGCGTTTGGTCGGGATGTTTGTGGTATTGCTAGGGCGCCATATATAAGGGTACTTCTTGGGAAAGGCATTATACAGCGCCTGCTCAGGGCGGCGATTCCGTCCAGCCAGAAGTATTAACCCTACTCGTGTGGGAATATTATGCCAACTGGCCTTTAAGGAAAAAACTTCTGTTAGTGACCTTTCTTGGTTTTTTTTTTTTCCCGTTACAAATGCGCTGTATACCTCAATACTCACCCCTCCTTCCTCTCCCATTTGTAGGTTTTTTGGGGAGAAAAGTGAAGGAATTTTTTGGGGAAGAAATTTGGAAAAAAAGTAGAAATATGAGAAATACAGTGAGATGGTGGGTAGGATTGGTGGTGGGGAAAGGGTCGTCGTACCAGAGGGTGAAAGTTCGAGGAGGGGGAGTGGTGTATTCGTCACAAAACTGTCCCCAACGTAGGCAGGACATTCCCTGTTCATTATACCTTATTAAAGATTCAGAACCACATATTTATACATATTGCTACGGCAGCGCCGAAATTCAACGAAATTTCAAAATATCATTGAAGCATTTTCCTTGGGTCACATTTGGTCTAAAATTTGTCCGCTGGTGTGGTTTGATCTACGAAACATGATAATTTTCCCGAAAAGCGCTGCGGCAAATTTCTTTTCGCGTATATTTTTTTCACTGATCTTTTCTTCTTTTATGCCTCGATCTGAAAATATGGAATCGGAAAAGACGATTGAGGTGAAGGACGGAATTTTCTGCAGGTGAATGCCTGTTTTTTTACCGACACAACACCCTATTGAAGTTTCGCTTTTGAAAAAAAAACAACGCTGTTCATAAAAGGGCTTTTGGGGGAGCTATACATACCGCCCCTAATTTTTGGAAAAAAGGCGGATTAATCCGCCGCAGACCGCCGCAAAGCGCCCCAAAGCGCCGCACTGCCATAACTTCTTTCAAAAAGGGTTATGGGAGAAGCAACAGATATATTGAGATTCGTCTCTGCGTGGCGAGTTAAACGGTGTATGAACCATCGAATTTTGGTAAGTAGGTCATCAGCTTTTTTCTGAAAACCGGTCAGATTCCGCTAAGGTTCTATAAGAAAATGACGGTTTGACCCGGTTATGATTGTCGGGCACCTACGGCAATTCGAGCATATTAAGAGGTGCGAAGGGACGTCATTATGAGGTGCGAAGCGACCTCATTAAGCCGAGGCACGCACGAGCTATCAAGATCGTAACAAAATTGAGTGAAAACTCTTAACAGAACAGATTCAAAAAAACGTGAAGATCTTCCAAAGGGAAGAAGGTTTACAAAAAAGTAATACAATAAGGTAGCTCTACCTGTCATGAATGGAGTGGCATAATGCCTAACTTTCAACTAAGCATCGATAAAAAAATATAAGCTCGAATCATTTCAAATTTCATGACGAAAAGCTTCAAGAACTCACGTGGAAACCCATACTGTTTATGAAGTGCATCCTTGGATATCGCTGAACTTCATTGCCTGCCTTCGGCGGGTTAGTTCAAGTAATGACCCTCTGGCCTCTTCTATATTATCCCGATAATGACTTCTTTATCACTTGGAAAGCCCTGGTCAAACAACACCTCAACGAGAGGTCATGACTAGATACTTAAGCTAACAGGTAGAAAGCAAACACGTGAGTTGTTGTTGAGCAAGTTCCTTGTGTTGTCATGTATTCAAGTACTAATCCTTCATTATTATATTCTGCCGATTCTGCCGATTCCTGCTCTTATGTGGATGCAGCCGTTCCGTTTTCAGGGTTTCCTCAGACGTCGTCTCCCACACCTTTGTATGTAACACCGCCCCGAAGCTAGAAGAACGAGCTTTATCAGCAGGGAGTATCCAGTGCCCAAATAGAGTCCTACTGCAAAAAGATGTCCCAATTTGTTACGAACAAAACTATATGACACATTTTTATTCGATTTGCTTACTTGTTTTTGTTTGAATAGTTGTAATAGAAATAAATAACAATAATAATAAATCTAACTAAATAGGCTGAAATATAAAGCATGACCTTTTTAACGGCGATTTCGAATGGATAACAGGTCCATGAATTTGGATAGCTTAATAACTTCTCCTTTTACCGAGGCCAACCGCAGTTAGCGCGACGTGGCTCGGCTTAATGAGGTCGCTTCGCACCTCGCTAATTATGCCTCGAATCGTAGGTGCGACAAGTCATTAACGAGGGGTCAACCGTCCCAAATTCCACCTACCCCATAATCCGCTATATTCTATAACTCAGTTTGTGTGAACTTTTCTCATATAGAACCCTACACGGTTAGACTGAGCTCATCGAGCTCTATAAGATAGCATTCTGAAAAACTGGAAAAGTCGAAAATTTATCACTGCTCCCTATCGAAGTACCCGAGGATACCCGTTAGCGACGAGTCTCGCTATAATTGTAACCAGAGGGCAATCGTTGGGAACTGAATCATTCAGGAATCGAATAATGTACTGTGTCGCGTAAGAAGTGATTAAAATTAGACAGTTGTGTTTCCTGAACGATGCTGATCATTACGGTGCCAATTTCTCTGAAAATGGATGGGTTTCGCTCGATGTCATTCTCGGACAATGTAGCCTTTTCAGTGCGAAAAATCTAGAGCCCTGGTTCAGTTCGGACCACACGAGCACAACGAGCCGAATGTATGGAGCTCTGTTTTCCCCACTATTTGCAAAATTCAAGAATGAAAGTCAAAAGAAGTGTTTTTAGCTAACTGAAATGAGCACTTCGTGCGATGATGAAGCATATACTCGATTTTCAGCGCTTTCAAATAGGATTTCTGGCTCTCTGAGTGGCCCCATAAATTCCATAAAAGAAACCTCCATACAGAACGTCTTGCGCTCTCTAAGAACATGGTGGAAAACAGTGGTACATTCTAGAGTGCTTGGTGTTATAGGGTGTCAACTTCGAGACTTCATTTCACAGCAAAATTTCCGGGTTTTCCATAGGAAGAAAATCCCAACCAAAGTTGCACCATTGGAATCCCCATGAAAAATGCTATCTATTCATATGAAAAATCTTCCTCATGGAACCTCTTAAAACTCTTGCAGTTTTCTCGCGGCTATCTTCCGCTTTCCTTCCGCGTGTATCTTTTGCCAAAATTAGGGGCGTATTGTAGGATAGGTAGGAATCCGAACTCACCTAATCGTTCCGGCACAAAAAGATTCATATATAAACAGTCTTCAGATTGAAGTTTTAATTTTGGAAGTAATCGATGCACATAGTCGAATCGTTGAGCTGACATTTGTTTAAAAGCCCTGAAAAAAATGGGAGAAATCAAGAATTGAACTAGCGGCCAGTCCTAGACTGAAGAAATCTTGCTTAATTTCGGTGCCGCTCAGAAAAATTCCGGTTAGACGGTTAAAAAACCCTGCGTTACGTGAGCGGCATGCCGAACCAGGAACATTGTTTCATTCTTCATCTCTTAAAATTTTTTCGATTCTCTACATAGCTCACAATTTCAGTCGAAGACGGTGCGTTATGCTGGCGAACTGAGAAAGCGGTTGAAAAAATTGCTTGAAGTTTCGGAAGACCGCGCACGCTCCGATAAGCAGGACATTAAGAGCTGCGCCGTCATGATTTTAGTGACAAACAGCCACTAAATATCCTGGGGGCTAGATATAGACAAAACTTTTTGCCCGTCTGGGAACGCTTAATCATAAAGCATGAAATCAGCAGACCATTAAAGCGTTAAGACTCTCGCTCTTACTGACGCTGGAACACCGCAAATCAACAACTTCCTTGGAAGGTTACCCTGGGAGAGTTCGATTTCCTGAATTGAAACTTTGGCCTAGACTAAGTTACTCAAGAGCCAATTCATTCCAGGTACTGATAGAGCTGGAAGACAGATCCGAGGTGGAAGGGTTCCCCTGAATTCAGGAATCAAGAATCAAATCGTAACCTTGTTTCACTGAGTTCAGGAAGTTGTGTTTGAATACAGGCTGGAGCCAGTTTTCGGGCTTCTTTGGGCAGATGCGTCCATTTTGCAGCTGATATAGCCATATTGAAGCGAAACTGAAAATGAACAGTTGCGAAAAATGTGAGCGATTCAAGGCTCAGCGATGACTGTATAGGCGGAGACAGAGAACCACTTTCTCTTTCTCATTGGTACGTTATTCGGCATACAGGGAGACACCAGCTACATTCTTCTATGTCTCCGCCCATACAATGATTCGAATTGTGTGTTCAGAATGATCGAAGGACCAAAACTATCATGGTCCAGCTTTGCTGGAGGACAAGTTCTAGTCACAGGCTAAATGAAAGAGCCTCACCTGTCCGGAGGGAGCTACACCGTAGGGTACACCAAGAAATTGTGTGACGGGTGCCAGATCGGCTCCATCCGGGTGCACCAGCTCTCCTCTCACAACACCCCATGCCGTGTTAACAGAGCGCACTTCATAACTTCTGAAACAATAAATCGTATTCAGAAAAGTGAAAAAAAATGGAGAAATCCTGATTTGAAAAATTACTCACGCGACTAAGGAACAAAGAGCGGCTATTCTGAATAAAACCCGCACAAGTCTGTGGGTGAATGATTTCATCACGTTCCCATTATCTGTCTACTTGTCCTCCTGAAAGGTTTCACAGTCTTGTTCGTTGTGGGTGCTGAGACGTGTCAGGGGCGGGGCTCGGGGCGGTGCCAGTACGTTTTCCGCCAATTGTTGTTGCTTTTCCTCTTCAACAACTGGAGGAGAGTTAGCTGGCGTCCGCACTAACCAGGCCTGTTGACATGCCTCAGCTCGTATCACCGTCACTCCGCAGTGACCAAAATTATCGCGATGACCATTACTTGTAATATTGGCGAAAAAACGTGTAGAATTCCGAAGAGTCGATTATAATCGGTAATCAAAGAGACTCAGAAGCGCAGACGATTGTCAGGTGGGCAGAGGTGGCGCAGTGGGAAATGGCGCCGCTACCAGCACGCGCCGTCAACCGGTTAAATCTCGGGTCACTTTCCCCCAGGTCAACCAAGCTTTCTGTCCTGCAGGCAGGGACATGAATTGGGGCGCAGTTTGGCTTGCAGTGTGGGGGGGGGGGGGAG